AGGCCCCCGGGTCGACCCAGGACACGTTGGAGAGGTTACATCTCCAATCTGGTCCGGGAACGCCTTGGGGTCCTGCCGGAGGAGCTGGTGGACAAGGCCGGGGAGAGGACGGCCTGGAGCTCCCTAATTGGGATGCTGCCCCCGCGACCCGGACCCGGATAAGCGGAGGAAGACGAAGACGAAGACGAAGATTTATTGTGCATGGGTATTAATCCTTAATTTTGTGTGATCATGTACACTAAAGCATCACTTATTCTCTATTACAGGCTGTTCTGACATATTTGAGGAGTCGTTCTCTCTGTTCATTGTGGACTTGTTCGAAGACCTGTTTTCTATCTGCCTCCACTGTACCAAAGTTTGGCTGTTGAGTTTCATTTCAAATGGTAAGTTTATAATGTTTTATGAAATCATACCTAATTGTGGATTATTAGAGACTAATTTGGCCTCTTGACATGTGAAATCCTGAGGAGTTGTTCCTCCCCATCCATGTTTGAGGACCTACTTTCTCTCTGCTTCTTCTGGACCAGAGGTTGGCTGTTGAACAGTAAGTTTATAATGTTCTATAAAATCCTACTTAATTTGGGAAGATTAGAGACTTAATGATGCATCCCATTTTCCTTTCAGTTCTCTATTGATGGTTCCTTTATGACTGAGTCACCGCTAAATCAAAGAAGTTTCAGGTCTAATGCTGCTATTTATTCAGATCATTTATCAGGAAATTTAGTTTTTATTGTCCGGGTCTGTTTTAACAAACACTGGGTGTACACTACAAGATTTTTACAGTCACAAACTAAAAACATAAAAGGTAGCACCAGGGCTCTTCCCATTAGTCTTGCTGCCCCACCCTTAGTCATGACACAACCTCTGTTGTTATTTGACAGTATAATGAATACTAACTGATTGATTGATTGATTGATTGATTGATTGATTGATTGATATAGCTGACAATTTTAGTCCTTGAGTTAATTTACATTCTGTATTTGTTAACTATCACAAAATATGACTATCCTTTGTAGTATACAGAGAGGAGACGCAGGAAAATTTACTGACTTATATGTAGTGTCCACGGCTAAAGTAGTGGGCCGGTCTGAAGAGAAAATTCCGGGGCCGAATTTTGATCCCAGTCCACCCCTGGATGAATTGCATTACTCTTTTATTCGATTTTAATTTTAAAAAAAAAAAATATATATATATATATATATATATATAAAGTATGTATCCAAAACAATTAACTTACATTTTACAAACACAAACATTTCAGAAAAAGACATTTCAGTTGTTTAAAATGTTATTTCAATTTTTTATTTTTTTCAAAATGTTTTTATTTTTTTTATTTTTTTTTTTAGTTTCATTCACCTTTTGCTGGCCAGTAATTTTCTAGGGGTGGCCATATCCGGTATTCCGGGAAAGACAGAATCAGTAGAAACAGCAGCATGAAGTGAAGGTAATCAGAAAAAATCTACAGAAGGTCTCGACTAATGTGGGCTTCGGCGATGTGTGGATTGTGTGCAAAAGGGGCGGGGCCACACATGAGAATCGGGACACCCTAGCACTCACAACCCTGGACAGGAACAACTGAGGGGCGCAAGGGTGACAGTATTGGAACTAGACCTTTGTGTCAGAGGAACTGGTGGCGCCAGTGTTGGGCAGACGCCTCGTGATTTTTATCTTGAGAGGCGCTATATAAAAGATAGTCTTCTTCTTCTTCTTCCTCCTCTTGTCAAGTGATGGTGGGATGGACCAGTGGATCAGGGCTTCATCTTTATGTAATCAGTTCTGTTGATCGGCTGATGTATAGGGCAGACATTTACTATTTTTGTTCTAAATCAGCATTGGCCGATATAACTCTGTAGCAGAGCAGATTTAAAGTCAGGCAGATCCACGGATATCTATAGGACATCTCAGAAATGAGGGGTTTGTTGCTGCTAAGTCCAGTGAGGTTTCATGTGACGATGAAGATGTGTTTTAGAATTACCAGTAAAATGAAAAAAGATTCAATCCATTTTAGATGTAACTGCTGAGTTTTAGTGGGTTGCTTTAGTGTTTCAGCACTATTTTAATTTAGTGGCACTTGGTCAGGTTATTCATTTGTTTAGTGAGCCCTGGTTGAAAGTTTGGTTTTACTTCTGTGCGAAAGGAAACAAAATTAAGATTGGAGAGTTGATTAAATGTTCAAAACAGATTCAGGTTCAAAAATGTTGTGCATCAGTTGTTATTAGTGAGATTTTAGCATGCAGATAAGGTAGAAAACATCTAGGTGTTAGCCACGAAAATAGGCCCAAAAACTGAGCCGCGTATATCATGACCTCTACCTGCAGCGGTGAAATCAGAAAACTGTTGCTTATTCCTTTGATTAAAAATCTCAGGGCCTATTAAAGTAAGCTTGCTTCTAACAAGTCCAGGATGTTAAATGATCTCCCAGCCTGTGGTCAAACATTTCTATAAGATCCGTTAAATTAAAGAAGAGGGTTGAGTGGAGATCAGCCACAGCTGCAGACTGTAAATCCTCCTGTGCTGCTTCCTGACTGGCGTCGAGTTCAACTGTTTCCAACTTGTATTTATAACTGGAGCCCGATCAATTTCCCCTACCATCACCACCACCACCACTCCGCCATTAACCATTGTCACAGGAACCATCAAATATACAAGGCCAACTTCACTCCACCACACAGTGCCTAATAATTTCCCCACCCTTGATGTGGGCTGGTATTGATCACTCGTGTGCTAGTTCAGCTGCTTTCACACAAAACTGAAGGCCTCCATTCTTCTGTCCCTCATTTCAAAGTGAATTTTAAACAAAAGGACCTCAGAAGTGTATGTTGTCTGCTTGGGTGATATACCACTCCTTTTGTCTTCTAGTGAAGCAGGCAGAGCGTGGGCGGGCAGAATCAAAGCAGCTACACACTTTCTCTCCCTTCATTTTATCTCCGTTTTTCTGTTTTGCTGCTTTCTGTTCCATCAAGGTTAAATCCAGGGTGTTTCTGCACCCTCTCCCATGGCCGTGGCTTTTCAGAGACTTGCCATCTGCTTGTTTCCTTTGGCTGCTTAGTGTGTGTGGATGTGTGTGTTTGTACACAGACTTTTGTTTGCCGGCGCATCCTTGGGAGGAGAGAAATGACGAAAAAGGAAGACATTGGAAATTCTCTACAGTAAAAGTAAACTGGAACGCTGAACCAGGAAAACCCATTTTGTCACCTGTGGTCTCTGATTTTCTCTGTAGGACTGCAGGTGTCCAGGGTCAGGAGAGTCTTTACCTGTTGGGTCATCCTGGGAGAGAGGCCTTCTACTGTCATCATGTTAATGTTATTTAGCTGTTTGATATTTGAACACATTTATTAAAACAAATACTAACTGATAACTCTTTCTGGTCATTGGTTTTGTCACCAGTTTTATTATTACAGATGGTTTTGAACATGTTACATGAACAGAAAATGAAAAGATGGTAAGGAGACAAGATCATTTAAAATATGTTACACTTATTTACAGATCAAAACCAGTATGGACCAGTTTTGTACGGTTAAAGCAGGATTAACCTGAGTGACTCTTCCTGGATCATTTATTTAAACTGAGTGAGCAGGAAGTCTTGAACAGTGCAGCTGGATCTGCTGCAGGAGGATCCAGATGTGGATGGAGGGCTGGAGCAGACCCGTGGCTGGACATTTTTGGCCAGAGGAACATCATACAGGACGGTCTGCAGAGAGCTTTGGGACGCTTCCTCTCACTGTCCACTCCATCGTCCATCTACAGGGCCTGCTGGGCTGGCTCAGACGACGGCTGTTACATCTCTGTGAATGACTTGCCTGTTAACAGTAGTGGTGGTCTGCTGGTACCTCCTCCAGGACAGAGCACCACTGACCTCCTCCACACATCTTCCTCAGGCTCATCCTCCAGACCCACAACTTCACCAGCACAGAGGCAGATGTTCAGCACAGTGCATGCTGACCTGTAATAGATTAAATAAGAGTTTGCTTGTTTTTTTATAGAAAAATGTAAAACAAAACATAACCTGCAGTACACTGATTCTGTTCAGTTTAAAGAAAAGCAGCAGGGAATATTTAAATAAAAACTACAGAGAATTTACATTTTAAGACATTATTAGGCTTAAGTTGAATAAACAAATGCACATTGAAAACACTTCAATGCTATTTTATTAAAAAGCCTGTTTTTTAAAGCATTTTACCCCCATTTGATGCAAAAGAAGTTCTAAGGTCCAATTTACATTAGAAAACGTCCTACTGCATTCAACATTTATAATGCATTTAGTTTATATTAATTACCTACATGATAATACTCTGTAGTAATGTGTTGTGTACGTAGCTTAAACATACATGAAATCATCTAAAGTTAACATGTAAGTCCTGAAAGCTTCTAGAATAAACAAAGTTACTTTACCTGAAAACGTTTGTGAACAAACGCTGCTAATGGAAGTGAAGCTGCTGTAGCTCCTTAATATTCCTGCTCCATTTTCGCTAGCTTTAGCATTTTTCCTTTGCGTGTAGCTGCCGCCACGGCTGTGACGAGACCTACGGGTCACCGTAGAGGTGAAGGCTAGACTGTCCGAATTCAGAGCCGCTGACTTCCGATTTTAGCAGTCTTAAAGGACCCAGCCTTGCTAGACCGGCGAGGACCCGTACTCATAAGCATCCTTCCTGTGGATTCGGACACCCCAGGAAACAGCAGAGAACGTCTCGGCTAGTAGAAGCTAACTGTTGGTATTAGCATTTTCACAACATGGCAGAATTTCTTCAGGCTTGTGTTATTTGTGGAGATAAAACAGAAATGTCGCAAAGCAAACTGAGTCAGCGGTAGACTCACGTTGCTGTTAGCCAATCAGAGTTGAGATGTCCTAATATTAGGAAATAAGAGGATGTGGCATTCTGATAGTTCCTGAAACGAGTACGACTTAAGGCATTCATTCCTTCTAGAGACCACTGCAAATGTATGGATTAAATGAGTGTCCCACACCTTTAACACACAAACATACACACACATACACACACCTTGTACAAACAGCTTTGCCGTTCGTTTCTCAATGAGCTGGAGGTCACACGTAACTTCTCCTTGGTTGCTTCTCTCTGTGGACTTCAGGACAATGACCCAGCAGTCTTCCTTAGAGTTTGGACATCTCTCTGCAGTGATGTTTGGGTTTATGGAGGGCAGGACGCCGGTCTCTTTGGAGATGGTTTGCACTGGTCTCCCATTCAGCATCCACACCATCACGGTCCATGCGGAGCTGGAGGTGCTGCAGGAGAATCTGGCCTCGTCTCCTCGCACAACCGTCAGTTTGTCAGGAGACAGTTTCAGCTGAGCTCTGAGAGCTGAAGACATAATGCAGCGAAATGAAACTTTAATAAAAGTTAAAACAAAAACGGTTCAAAGTTTTTGATAAATCTTTATTTTCTGGTGAAATGAAAAGTGAGATAGATCAATTAAACGACACATTTTTGTCATTCTTTGAGACTAAATAAAGGAACTGTTTACGAGGAAATGAGTCGTTTCTAAATTACAGAGAGAGGGAAAAATAAAGATGGAGTCCAAAAAATCTGTCAGTAACTCTGTGGGTCTGCAAGAGTAGATCATTTATAGCTTAAGCTGATGTTAACCCTCTGGAGACAGGCGTTGCAGATTTGCAATGTTAAAACCTACCTACCTGGTTACTCCACATACGTATTTCATGAGCATTTTTAACTCAGAAGTACCCCTGAAGGACTTAGTTGTTCGTCCTTTTATCAAAATTTATTTTGAGCCTGAGAGGGTTAATAATTTTCATGAATAAAACAAAAGGAAATGCCCTTTTTAATGGATGCAAATACAATAAACAGATCTACACCCCTAACAATAAATGTTCCAGATAGAGCCAAAGACGGTTCTTTACAGTGGTGCCATAGGGGAACCTTCTTCGGTTCTCCAAGAAACCTTTTGCCTATTGGTTCCTCAAAGAACCATTTATACATGGGTTCTTTAATGAACTTTTATTTGGTTCTCTGCGGAACCTCACACATAGAACCTTTTAGGGTTCCACAAATAACCATTCATCAAAAGGTTCTATGAAGAACTAATTCAGTTGGGTGCTTCAGAGAACCTAAACAAGTTCTTTAAAGAACATCATTAGATTCTCTGTGGAACCTTAAAATCAGAACCTTTTAAGGTTCCTTAAATAACCATTTATCAAGGGGTTCTCTGAAGAACTAATTCATTTGGGTGCTTCATAAAAAGTTTTTTTGGGTGTAGAGAAATAAGTTAAACTCTTATTATCAATGAAATACTTTAACAGAATTTTGAAAGATGAGCTGAATAATTGATACATTCATTTTTACCTATAACAAATTAGCATTACACAATAAAAAAAACTTTGCACAAAAACATATTTGCTTTTAGTTGAACATTTCTGTGATTTACAATCATGCTTTGCAAAATATTTGAAGTTGTTGGAAATCCTGATTAGTAACATTCACGATGAGATATAGGTTCATGCATTTGTGGAGTGATCAACACACCTCAAGGTGTGGGTAGAGGTCCCCCAATACACACGCCTGTGTGTGTGTCAGAAATAAAGAGGAAAACTGATATTTCATGAAGCAGATTGTGGAAGATAAACAGCTAAGAGCAGATTTAAGGCTCATGCCCTTCTCAGAGGGATGGAGGTTTAATTTGTTTGTGTTGAGCTTGGTTGTTGATGCCTTCTCCTGCTGCCAGCATGCAGAGTTGTAAATTATGCATCCTCCCAAGAAAATTGGTTCTGAGATATGTCTAAGGCTATCGCTAAAAATAAAAGCATCAATTGTGTGTTGGAAGTGTGAACTGTACACATACATATAATAATACATCAGGCTGCTGACTAGTTTATCAGTCATCTTTAGAAACATGATTAATAAAGAGAAGATAGATCAATAAACCCTCAATAAAACCTGCAGGCCTCTGCTTCTAAGCATGTTTATCTCCAGCTGAAGCGTGTTAGTGTCTTCTCCGCACCGATCGAAGCTCACCTTGAGTTCTGCATGAGAGTAGCAGGACCAGCAAAGGAACCATGTCCATGTTTAAGAAATCCTGAAAAACAAATGTCAGTTAAGGTTCTGTTAGGTTCTGCTTGCAACTTTCTACCACTTTTCAAAATTATTTCCCAGAGAAAGACTTAACTTTTATGCTTATTTGTTTATTTAAATGTTTATTTTTTTTATGATTTTTCACAGTTTTCCTCATTTGTCAGATTAAAAAGTTTTAAGACGTTAAAAAGCAAATCCCATAAAAGCTGAGACTCAGTTGAGTTTTATCAATGCAGACCAAAAAACATGTATGATTTTATTATGTGTTTTCACTACACTGAACTATCAATTTTAGCAACGTTGCACCGAATAAAACTCAGGAGTTTGGCGTCTGAGATCAGCGCTTGTCTTTCACACTAATTGTGATTTCATCAGTCTGAGCAGGGATTGAGATGATCCCTGCTCAAAGGCTGCTGAAATATGTAATAGATGTTTTATTTTTAAGTGCTTTGAGCTTGTTTGAGTGAATATTTTACTGGTGGATTTTTCCTTGGTTAAATTACAACATTTTTTATCATTTTTGCATTTTCAAAATAGTCCCTGTGTTGCTAGTTAAAGGCAGGCCACATGAAAATGTCAAAGCGCTGCAGGTAGCATGCTTGAGACGTGATGGTCCACGGTCATCAACGATAAAAACAAACATGGTGTCATCGCAGAGATAATGTGGCATAAAACACCAGAAACAGCCTTCAGCTGCTGAGAACCCTGAGCTGAATGCTTTCAGAGCTCATTTTTGGTCAATCCAGCTATAAATATTTGAGCTTTTTCCTTGTTTTGCTGACTTCAAACAGACCGGCAGTGTCCTCAACCAAAGTTAGAATTCCAACACTTCATTTGATTTGATCACACAGAAACACACAGTCAACACACTTTTGTGTGAGAGACCCAATCCTTTGCTTCCATTGTTATGTCTCATGAGGAATAGAACTTAAAGCCCGTAAGTGCATAATAAAGACTCATTAACTATGTTTTGTTTCCTCTTGACTTACCGCTGTGATTCTGTGGATTAGCAGCAAACGGATGCAGCTCCTTCCTCCTTCCATATCACCCAAAACTGTCCCGTTAAATATTAGCAAGCCCAGTGGGAACTTTGTCCCATGCTACACTCACAGCATGACTCAGACTACAAACAAATGTTCCCATCAGCTGATTTCCACCTGTGGGAAAACTTCACACTCCCGGTTACTATTTTAGATCGTTTGATCTAAATAAAGGAATTTACAGTGCTGTGAAAAGTATTTGCATTTAAATGTTTCAGATCAGCAAACAAAGATCAAATGATGATTTAATTTGTGAAGGGGATAAATGTGTTCCAGACAACCTGGTTTTGTGTTTGAGTGTAGCCAACTCCTAAACCCAAGCACAGGTTCTAACTTCTTAGGGGTAACATCTTTGTGATTACTACACGTTTCTCTCTTCTTTACAGAATTGTTTTATTTCAGCTACATTGAGGCATTGCTTCTCCGGCTCAACAGTAGCTCAGGAGTTTGAGCAGGTTGTCCTGTAATCGGAAGGTTGCAGGTTCGATCCCAGCTTCAGACAGAGAATTCTGCTGTTGTGTCCTTGGGCAAGACACTTAACCCACCTTGCCTGCTGGTGGTGGTCTGAGGCGCCTGTGCTCGTTGGCTTCACCTCTGTTAGTGTGCCTCAGTGTGTGAATGTGTGTGTGAATGGATGACTGTGGGGTAAAGCGCTTTGGAGTCCTCTGACTCTGAAAAGTGTTATATTGGTGCGAGTCATTATCATTTTCCAGCTGTTATTATTCAAGTTCCTGGACTGTTTACATGCCTAGCTTCATTTAAGTACCCAAGCTTATTCACCTGGGACTAAAATGCCGTACCTGCAGGGCTCCCCGGGATTTGTTATACCTACAGCCACAGACCACAAGCCTCCATGCAGCTCTAGTTCATATCCAGCCAAGTATCAAAATCATGTCTGTCAAGTTATGTCTGCTTCAACAAGTCAAGTCTGCCTGCTGTGTCAAGTGTGCTACACAGTCAAGTCTAATACATCAAGTAAAGACTTCTTCAAGTCTGCTACATTAAATCTACCTGCTACGTCAAGTCTGCTGTCAAGTCTGCCTTCTACATCAAGTCTGCTTCTTCAAGTCTGCTACATCAAATCTACCTGCTACGTCAAGTCTGCTACATTAAATTTACCTGCTACGTCAAGTCTGCTACATTAAATTTACCTGCTACATCAAGTCTGCTACATTAATTTACCTGCTAAGTCAAGTCTGCTACATTAAATTTACCTGCTACGTCAAGTCTGCTACATTAAATTTACCTGCTACGTCAAGTCTGCAACATTAAATCTACCTGCTACGTCAAGTCTGCTACATTAAATTTACCTGCTACGTCAAGTCTGTAACATTAAGTCTACCTGCTACGTCAAGTCTGCTGTCAAGTCTGCCTTCTACATCAAGTCTGCTTCTTCAAGTCTGCTACATCAAAACTACCTGCTACGTCAAGTCTGCTACATTAAATTTACCTGCTACGTCAAGTCTGCTACATTAAATTTACCTGCTACGTCAAGTCTGCTACATTAAATTTACCTGCTACGTCAAGTCTGCAACATTAAATCTACCTGCTACGTCAAGTCTGCTACATTAAATTTACCTGCTACGTCAAGTCTGCTACATTAAATTTACCTGCTACGTCAAGTCTGCTACATTAAATTTACCTGCTACGTCAAGTCTGCAACATTAAATCTACCTGCTACGTCAAGTCTGCTACATTAAATTTACCTGCTACGTCAAGTCTGCAACATTAAATCTACCTGCTACGTCAAGTCTCGTCGTCGTCGTCGTCTTCCTCCGCTTATCCGGGTCCGGGTCGCGGGGGCAGCATCCCAACTAGGGAGCTCCAGGCCGTCCTCTCCCCGGCCTTGTCCACCAGCTCCTCCGGCAGGACCCCAAGGCGTTCCCGGACCAGATTGGAGATGTAACCTCTCCAACGTGTCCTGGGTCGACCCGGGGGCCTTCTGCCGGCAGGACATGCCCGAAACACCTCCCCGGGGAGGTGTCCAGGAGGCATCCTGACCAGATGCCCAAACCACCTCAACTGGCTCCTTTCGATCCGGAGGAGCAGCGGTTCTACTCCGAGTCCCTCCCGAATGTTCGAGCTCCTCACCCTATCTCTAAGGCTGAGCCCAGCCACCCTACGGAGGAAACTCATTTCGGCCGCTTGTATCCGCGATCTCGTTCTTTCGGTCATTACCCAAAGCTCATGACCATAGGTGAGGATTGGGACGTAGATCGACCGGTAAATCGAGAGCCTGGCTTTCTGGCTCAGCTCCCTCTTCCCCACGACAGATCGGCTCAGCGTCCGCATCACTGCAGACGCCGAACCAATCCGCCTGTCGATCTCCCGATCCCTCCTACCCTCACTCGTGAACAAGACCCCGAGATACTTAAACTCCTCCACTTGAGGTAGGACCTCTCCCCCGACCCGGAGGTGGCAAGCCACCCTTTTCCGGTCGAGAACCATGGTCTCAGATTTGGAGGTGCTGATCCTCATCCCAGCCGCTTCACATTCGGCCGCGAACCTACCCAGCAAGAGCTGAAGGTCAGAGCTGGATGAAGCTAGGAGGACCACATCATCCGCAAAAAGCAGAGACGAGATTCTCCTGCCACCAAACTCGACACACTCCACACCACGGCTGCGTCTAGAAATTCTGTCCATAAAAGTGATGAACAGAACCGGTGACAAAGGGCAGCCCTGGCGGAGTCCAACCCTCACTGGGAACAGGTCCGACTTACTACCGGCTATGCGGACCAAACTCACGCTCCTCTGGTAAAGGGACTGAATGGCCCTTAACAGAAAGCCACCCACCCCATACTCCTGGAGCGTCCCCCACAGGGTGCCCCTGGGGACACGGTCATAAGCCTTCTCCAAATCCACAAAGCACATGTGGATTGGTTGGGCAAACTCCCATGCCCCCTCCATCACCCTTGCAAGGGTATAGAGCTGGTCCACAGTTCCACGGCCAGGACGAAAACCACATTGCTCCTCCTCTATCTGAGATTCAACTATCGATCGGACCCTCCTCTCCAGTACCTTGGAGTAGACCTTTCCAGGGAGGCTGAGGAGTGTGATCCCCCTATAGTTGGAACACACCCTCAGGTCACCCTTCTTAAAGATGGGGACCACCACCCCGGTCTGCCACTCCCTAGGAACTGCCCCCGATGACCACGCAATGTTGTAGAGACGTGTCAACCATGACAGCCCTACAACATCCATAGCCTTGAGATACCCAGGACGAACCTCATCCGCCCCCGGGGCTCCGCCGCTGTGTAGTTGTTTGACTACCTCAGCAACTTCTGCCCCCGAGATCGGACAGTCCATCCCCAGGCCTCCCAGCTCTGGTTCCTCCTCGGAATGCGCATTGGTGGGATTGAGGAGCTCCTCAAAGTATTCCTTCCACCGTCCGACTATAGCCTCAGTTGACGTCAGCAGCTCCCCATCCCCACTGTAAACAGTGTGAGCGAGTTGCTGCCTTCCTCTCCTGAGGCGCCGGACAGTTTGACAGAACCTCTTTGGAGCCGATCGATAGTCTTTCTCCATGGCCTCACCAAACTCCTCCCACGCCCGAGATTTTGCCTCGGCAACTGCCACTGCTGCACCCCGCTTGGCTATCCGGTACCTGTCTGCTGCCTCCGGAGACCCACAGAACAGCCACGCCCTGTAGGCCTCCTTCTTCAGCCTGACGGCTCCCCGAACCTCTGGTGTCCACCAGCGGGTACGGGGGTTGCCACCACGACTGGCACCGGCCACCTTACGACCACAGCTAGCAACAGCCGCCTCGACAATCGCAGAGTGGAACAAGGCCCACTCGGACTCAATGTCCCCCACTGCTCTCGGGACGTGGTCAAAGCTCTGCCGGAGGTGGGAGTTGAAGACCGTCTTGACAGGTTCTTCTGCCAGGCGTTCCCAGCAGACCCTCACTATGCGTTTGGGTCTGCCAGGTCTACGCGGCATGTTCCCTTGCCATCTGATCCAACTCACCACCAGGTGGTGATCAGTTGACAGCTCCGCCCCTCTCTTCACTCGGGTGTCCAAAACATACGGCCTCCTTGAACCGTCACCTTATCGTGGTGGAGGAGTTTGAGTGCCCTAATGATCCTAGGAGCTATGTTGTCTGGGGCACTTAGTGCCCCTGGTAGGGTCTCCCATGACAAATTGGTCTTAGGTGAAGGGTGAGACAAAGAACGGTTCGAAGGATCTTTCATGGCGATTAAAACGAAGAGTCGGAGTACCCGGCCCGGAGGGTTACCGGGGTCCCACCCTGGAGCCAGGCCTGGGGTTGGGGCCCGTGAGCGAGCGCCTGGTGGCCGGGCTTTCGCCCATGGGGCCCGGCCGGGCCCAGCCCGAACCGGATACATGGGCTCGTCCAACTGTGGACCCACCACCCGCAGGAGGAACATGAAGGGTCCGGTGCAATGCGAATCGGGTGGCAGACCAAGGCGGGAGCCTTGGCGGTCCAATCCCCGGACAAGAAAACTAGTTTTTGGGACATGGAACGTCACCTCGCTGGCGGGGAAGGAGCCGGAGCTTGTGGCAGAGGTTGAGCGGTACCGGCTAGATATAGTCGGACTCACCTCGACACATTGCATTGGCTCTGGAACCCGAGACCTGGAGAGGGGTTGGACACTCTACTTTGCTGGAGTTGCTCCGGGTGAGAGGCGGAGGGCTGGGGTTGGCTTTTTGTTAGCCCCGAGACTCTCTGCCTGTGTGTTGGGGTTTACCCCGGGGGACAAGAGGGTAGCTTCCTTGCGCCTTCGGGTCGGGGAACGGGTCCTGACTGTTGTTTGTGCTTATGGGCCAAATATCAGTTCAGAGTACCCACCCTTTTTGGAGTCCCTGGGACGAGTGCTAGATAGTGCTCCATCAGGGGACTCCATTGTCCTGCTGGGGGACTTCAATGCTCACGTGGGCAATGACAGCTTGACCTGGAGGGGTGTGATTGGGAGGAACGGCCCACCTAATCTGAACTCGAGCGGTGTTTTGTTATTGGACTTCTGTGCAAGCCGCAGTTTGGCCATAACGAACACCATGTTCCAACATAAGGATGCCCACCGGTACACTTGGTACCAGGGCAGCCTAGGTCACAGGTCGATGATAGATTTTGTAGTCGTATCATCTGACCTGCGGCCGTATGTTTTGGCTACGTCAAGTCTGCAACATTAAATCTACCTGCTACGTCAAGTCTGCTACATTAAATTTACCTGCTACGTCAAGTCTGCTGTCAAGTCTGCCTTCTACGTCAAGTCTGCTTCTTCAAGTCTGCTACATTAAGTCTGCCTGCTACGTCAAGTCAGCTTCTTCAAGTATGGTACATCAAGTCTGCTTGCTATGTCAAGACAAGTTTTCAAGTCTGCTATGTCAAATCTTCTTGCTACGACAAATCTGCTTCTTCAAGTCTGCTGTCAAGTCTGCTTCTTCCAGTCTGCTACAACAAGTCAACCTGCTGCATCAAGTCAATTCTGCTTCTTCAAGTTTGCTATGTCAAGTCTACCTGCTAAGTCAAGTCTGCCAAGTCAGGTCTGCCTGCTATGTCAAGTCTGCTTCATCAAGTCTGCTACGTCAAGTCTACCTGCAACATCAAGTCAAATCTGCTTCTTCAAGTCTGCTATGCCAAGTCTGCTTGTTCAAGTCTGCTACGTCAAGTTTACCTGCAACGTCAAATTGCTTCTTCAAGTCAAGTCTACTTCACCAAGTCCACTATGTCTAGTCTGCTATCTTTGACACTGAAATGTGTTTACTGATCTGAAATGGCTGTGTGAAACAAAGGAAAGAGCTTTAACCGGAGCCCAGAGGCATGATTTTGTTTGTTTGTTTTGTTTTGAATATTTCACAACTCAATTTACACAACAGCCCATTTGTCTTAAAACATCTTTTTAAAAAGAGTTTCAGCTTTAGCAGGTTACATTTCACAGAACGTTGTCCCAGTCTACTTTAACTTTTCCATTGCATTCATCTTGGCTACACGTTTGAGACTTTCTTTAACAAAGTGCGTTGATCAGTCAGCAGTACTAGTCTTGTTGGTGTATTCCGCTTCTCACAGCACGCTCTTCCTCATGGGGCTATTAAAAGCCTCAGCTGGCATTCAGCTGATAAAAGTCAGGCACAACGCAGGAATAAAAGAGCACAATAGTTAAGAGTGGGTGAATTATGGATGCCAGGAGCCACAAACCTGTTAAAAAAGGTCACTGCCTTTTTAAGGTTAGTAAAATAGAATTCATGAAAGAAAAAACATGAGAAATTTGTTTGAGCTTGACAAAAATGCCTTTTACAAACTCTACTTAAAACAGTTTTATTATAGTGTCTCTCTAAACATTAGATATAAAAACTAGGTCAATATTGGAGATGAGAAATGTGGTTTTGGACAGTTTTGCCAGCGCCTCCATGACCAGTGGTTTCCAGAACGTCCAGTGGTGACAGGCTGTGTGACGAGTCTCGGGCGGGGTCAAGGGAGGTCAGGCGTCAGGGTTCAGAGAGGGAACAGAGAGGCTCTTTCTGGCTACGGAACAAGACAAACAGATGAAATAAAAACCAGGTCACAGATTTGCCAGTTGTCAGACTGAGCCACCACCACCAACTCTATGCCCATCCTAAACGTGTGCCCACTTCTCCGCAGGCAAACCTAAAACCTTCCTTAGTCCCTTCCTCTAACGAGACGCGACAGGAGCTCGGAGAGGCTTGAAGGCAGCCGAGGGAGGACAAGTCTTTCTGTTTCTGAGTTTATCCTGCAGCAGATCGTGGATTACCCAGAAGCACGAGCTTTGGTGATTAAGATTATTATCAACATTATCAATTCTGCTGCTTCAGAAGTTATAAAGAGAAAGGACGGGTAATCATAGCAATATTTTGTTTCTTCTGTGAACATTTGGCTAAGGGAGAGTGAAACATTAACCGTACTCACAGAGGAGGCAAGGACAGTCTTAGGGTTAGTGATATTTATATATTGTAAATGTAAAGGCACTGATGTTTTACTGTAATAGAAGCCACTGCTGCACAGGTACGTTAGAATTTGTTGCCATGGTGGCAGGTTGAGTAACTGTGTAATTATGCATTTGCCTTTGATCTGACAGCAGGGTCAAAGAGCCAAACAAAAGGCAAAACAACAGTCTGAATACAGGTTTATCTTTTTAATTAATGTGGTTACATAAATGCTGACTGTTTACCAAGCCACATGATGTAGCACTGCCCTCTAGTGGTCAAATCCAGCCATAAAGGCCAATCAGCGAGGGATTCAGGTGTTTTACCTGGTCAGTAGTGAGTCATCATCACCCACTGTAACTACTCAGCCTCTTCCTCCTGTTACAACACAAACCACGGTGTTTAGATAGGGAACACATGAAACAGTAGAACATGGCAGGAACACCAGTGAGTTTTGTTTTGTGTTCTGCTGTGAAAAAGTATTTGTCCCTAAACAATTTTAAAATAATGCTTTTTTTTTCAAATGATGATTTATAGAACCAGAACTGTAGATCACAAAAAATCACTTCAGTAAAACCATTCTCACAACATGAAGCAGGCGAAAAGATCTCAAAACGCAACACACCATGCCTCATTCTAAAGTTCAACAACAAAAGTCTTTAAAATTTGATTTTCATGGTGAGTTAAAGGAACTAAACCTGCTGACCACAAAAAACACGAAGGCCTATCTCACGATTGTCAAAAGTCGTATTGATGATCCCCAAGACTTTAGGTAGAATGTTCTGTGGACCAGGAGGGTGTGTGTCCTCTAACATTTGAAGTAAAACCAACTTGGCATTTCAGGAAAACAACATTGTACAAACATTCAAACATGGAGGTGGTAGAGTGATTGTCTGGGGCTGACTTCCTGCTTCATGAATTTGGCTCCCTACCAGAAAATCCTGTAGGAAATGTCTGACCTTTGACCTTAAACAGGTTGTTCATGTTGGAAAATCCTCACGAGTCTGAATTAACCTATAGGTTTATTTGGCTAGCTTTTTCTATTGATAAAAATCATGACTTGTGTTATTAGCTGAGTTAGTACTGAAATGAGTTTGCTGATTTAGAAGTGACAAAGAAGCAAAACCGAGAGAAAAACTGTGAGAGGGCAAATGTTTTTCACAGCACTGTGCCATGCTACAGTCCCAGTGACAGCTGGGTCTGCCTACATGTCATTTTCAGATCACTAGTTCTGCTGGCCAAAATTAAACCCACAGCAGGAAGATTGCAGGGTTCATGATGCAAAGTTACACTTTGTTCTTTCATGTTTGTGGCATTTATTTGACAAAAACATTTGATTTAATCCAAAAAGTCAAGAAAAGTTCTGATTTTTCTAAATCAACCACCTTCTATCTTAAACAACGTGACCTTAATAACTTAAGTTTGATGCTCAAGACATGAATTTTCTGTGTGAGCGAGAGCAATAAAGCAAAGAACATTAAATGGCATTTGTCACACTCAAGCATAATTCCAGGTCTACAAAATCGTTTAGATGTTTCCTCAAAGTTTTCTTCTCCTTCAGATGAATTAAAAAGGAGGATAAGGGGTTGAACGAAGTCATGCTCCTAAGGGAAGAAGGCCTTTACGTGTTAGTGGTTGCAGTGGCCGAGGGTTAAAAATGGGGAGGAAGTAATCTGAGTCGTGCAGCGTTTAGCAGTGACAGCAGTGTCAAGGCAAACTCAGCACCAGTGACTCAGCTGCTTTAATATTTACTAGATGACTTAAGGTGGAGATGGGGGTGGGGCTCAAGCTGAGAGAAGTTTTATTTATAACCTTTTTCACATAAATCTACTTTAAAGAAAAAAAATAAGTGCTATCAAATAATAAAAATCCACATCTAGTCTGGAGGGCCGGTCACAAGTCATCAGGTTGGATCAAGTTTAAGTAAACTCTTCTTGTCTTCTCCCAAACATCCTGAAGTGACAAGATGTCTTCTCTTCTCAAAATTTGTCAAGTCCGCTTCCCCTTTCTTTTGGTTGGAGAGCTCTTGACAAAAAAAAGTAAGCAGACGCCATGACTTCTTAGGGAAAAAAAGAGCATGTTGCTCTGGAAACTAACCAAACCTAACACACGTCTGAGTTGAGCTCCTGTGCAGGTAGATGTGAAGAACATCAAAACAATTACTACCTGCTCTTGAGACATCTACTCAAAACGGTAAAGTTGTCTTCAAAGACTAGGAAAAGGGTTTTTATGACGTATGCATGACATACAGCTGATTTAAGAGAAGAAAGACTCTGCAGAAGGTCTGTTTTATGATCAGGACATGCAGAAAGACCCAAGTCTGACTCACACCATGCCAAAGAGAGGCACACTGATACCTCTTGTGCTTCTGCCTCTTCTTCCTCCTAAAGAAGATGAAATCAAGAGTGAACTGGGGTTGACAATATAAGGAGGTATACGGGAATATTGGTCCACGAGTGACGGCAGTTTCTTTGTTTCCCACTCAAGTTCCACCTTAAAAGGTTAGGTGGTTAATACTAACCAAGCTGCACACCATCAGGCACCTTTGTGAAAAACAGATCTCAAACATCCATGCAGTAAAATAAAACATGAAGAAGAAAACTAAAGAACAGCTCAAAACAAAACACAAAGCACAAAAATGAACAACCTCACTGACTCGTTCATCCTGCAGAACAAAGGTGGTGCAAAGACAAAACAAGGAGGTGCAAAGAAGGCAAAGCAGTGAGGCTCAAGCAGACAGTGGAATGTCTCAAAGTAGTGTCCCTTTTCACACAACACTCTGAACGAGGACATCTCAAAACACCTAACTTCTGTTAAAAACAGAAAAGGGTTGCCTCTAAATGGTTTTGAATCTAATCTGGGATCTGGTTATGTCTAGTGGTGTGTGAAACATGACTGAAGTCATTATGGATTAAACTCTAAAGTGTACCCTGATAGGCAAAACCCTGGGCACATTGATGCCCATTAAACACTCGGTTGCTCATTAAGAGTTTACTGCTGTGAGCTGCCCATAATAATAATAATAATAATAAAAACAGCAGAAATGCTCTCGCTTTTAAAGGAACTAGTATAAAAGTGATGCACTATCAAATCAACCCATTGTGGTTTATGGGACTCTCTTTGGATCACGGTTGATTTATACTTTTAAAAAGCAAAATGATTCATTTAGCAGAATGTGTGGAAGGATGCAATATGATATGAGAAACTCAGTTGAACGGCTTAAAAAACTCTGAAGAATCTACCTCAAGTTGTCGTAGCTCTTCTTCCTCCTATACAAAATATAACAAATAGCAGGTCAGCAAGCCACGCGGGGAGCAAAAGAGCACCACATGCACGTGTTACAGGGTTGTCCCAAAACTAATGGAAACCTAAGGAGGGAGGGTGGCTGAGGGGGCCAGGAAACACCTGGAGAGAAATTATGTTAGCTGGAGGAGAGGACTGCAAAGATGATTAGAGGAGTTTATCAGCAGATCAGGACTTCCGCAGAGACAAACTAAACCCGATCTACCATCAAACCCAGACGTTCAGTTACCTCTGACTGCAAATCCTCTTCCTCCTGGAGGCAGTAGACCAAGAGAACGCAGAATACAAAGGATCATACTCCTTACAGTGGTACACGTTAGCACTGGCAGACTGATGTATTACCGCTGTGTAAAATCAGCTTACTCTTTGGAGTATTCTCCATTCTAAAATGTGTGAGTGTAATTAAATCATGTCAGTTTAAGTGTCCCAATGAATACAGGAGACTGCTACATCCACATCACATGTGGATGCACTTACATGTGTAACAGTAAATATAGGGAACCAAGTATGGTGTACTAAAACAACTCGATTGTGCAGAAAAGTGGAGAAATGCTCTGTCAAATGTGGCTGTTACATGTAAGCAAAAGTTAAAAAACATCAAACATGCCTTAAAAAGAAGAGGGTTAATGATGGTAACATGAAAATTGGACATTTGAGATCGAGGGTTCTTCCTTACAGAAGTTCTGCTCCTAAAGGCTTTTTTATTCTGTGCTGCCATATCATAAAAAGAGCAACAGTGACATTTTGGATAAAAATGAAGCCAAACTACTGGTTTACTGGTGCCAACATGTTGTTTTTGTGAAGCAAAACTCTGCTAGCTCTGGCTGTGGATCTGAAAATCCCAGCTACTCACCCTCAATTGAGGAAAAAAAATCCTGTTTGGACATGCAGCAGCAGCAGCAAGCAGGTAAACATTATGAGACTTGTCAACACTCAACGCCTAGAAAATAAATATTCCAGTGTTTGTTTGGTATTGGGGGGGGGGGGGGGGGTTAGGTTGCTGTACCATTCATCTACATTTACATTTAGAACTGCAGCCAGCCACTAGAGGGTGCTTGTGTTTAGTTTCAGTTCAGTCTAAACTGTACTTTTCTTTATCTAGTTATTATATTTGTTGATGCTAACGAGCTTTACTGTTTCTAACCAATAAATGGACCAATCCGAGCCACCTGCAGTGGGTTGGCAGGAAGGTCCTTTAAGCAGAAATCTGAAGTTCTTTGTCAGAGGACATCATCTAGAGACAGAAAAATGTATTGCACCGTAAGCCTCTCTTCCTACTTCCATGATTACAGCTGGAAGCAATGCCTCCCATTGGGGAACACGCACCTATAGCTAACAGAGCTGAAACAGAGTTTCGTAATCATGCACGCTGCGACCGCTCAATTCAAACTGCATAGGGCTACATGGGACACATACAAATCCTTATTGCCTTCATTATATAACAGTATATGGAAAGACTATCACTTTTACAGATTTCTAAAAAATTACATGTAATTCTAGCCTAGAAGTCTAGACGCACAGGAGCTGAAACAAAATAGTTTTGTTCTGCATGTCGGTCTAACCACGCTCTAATGGAAACTCAGCAGTCCAGACCAGTATTGTGGTTTGCCAATCACAGCGTTCAATCTGTTTGGTGGGCGGGATGATACTGCGACTTGTTTGAAACGGCTTTGGCTTGAACTTTGGACTAAGACTTGGTCTTTTCTTTGAGTCAAGAGCAGATAGAGGTACTTCAATGCTTTATTTATAAAAAGGATGTATTTGCGTGATCTTCAACAATGTACGGCGGACAGCTCCGTTGACTGACATCCATAGAGGTGAGTACGTCATGTTGTCCATTGTCCAATAGAATGCAGGGACAGTTTGAAAGACAACCATAAATCCCGCTTCATGAGAGCTCTGTCTATGGGTCGTGGCCGGACTATACATTCACATGTATAGGATGGCTTGCCAGGCTAGCATAACTGCTAAAAGAGGGAAAACTCTGGATAACTGCTAAAATAGCACTTTCCCAAAAGAAACGATCGCAGCGATATGCAGACTGAGAAAAAAAATTGAGGATTTTATGGAAAATAAAACACAAAAATATCTAATAAAACAAAACACAAAAATATCTAATAAAACAAACAATCAAACCTTCAAATACTACAGCACTGCTTCAGAAGCTGGTTGAAATGTTTACTTACTTGCTCTTCATCCTCTTCCTCTCCTTCTCGTGCCTGCTAACAGAACACAAAGGATGGTATTGAGACCTCAGGGGCCATCACTTAGACACAACACTATCCACAGACTAAACACCAAAACCAGAGATGGTGTTTTGGGGACATCTCTGACACACTTAACAGTCAGGGAGTGAAAAATGTAGTGAACCTGTTGAGCCAGGTGATAACAGAGTCACTAGCATTTAAAAAAAATCTATATGTAAATAAATAAATAAGTAAATACATAAACATGAAACCTTTGAGAGAGAATTAAAGATTGCATTAAAATGGTTAAATGTCCATTGGAGCTGCAAGAAAATCAGAAACATCAACAGAAGTTTAGGAATGTTCCACAATGCTGTTAGTGAAGATGAAGAGAAGAAGTGAAGATGAGTAAGAAGGATGACTGACAGCAAACCTTGACAACAGAAAAAGGAAAACAAGCAAAAACAAACTCTCTGGGAATGATAAGAAGGAGAAATGTTTCAGACATTCCTGGGACTGAGGAGGTGAAAGACCAACATAGGGGTGAAGTTTAGTTATGGGGCAAATACTGTAACCTCGTCTGTTTCTTCTACTTCCTCCTCCTCTTCTTCTGCGAGGGCCTCGTCTCCTGCAGTGGCTTCATCATCTGCCTCGCCACCCTCACCTTCCTCCTCCTCTTCCTCCTCCTCTCTGTGTGAGTGGCCATTTTGCTCCTCTACCGGTACCTCCTTGTTCGGGGTGGAAACAAGATGTGCGATGAAAGAAGTATATGATTTTAAAAAATACTGCGTGCTCTTATTTTGAAGGGGGTGTTGGAGTTAGTCTTTTTACAGTATTGTGTTTGTGAATTAGCAGCTAATTTAAAGTGAAAGGGTTATAACTTTAGTATTAAATTAAATATGGAGGTTTATCACGAAGCATAGTTAAAAACAATGTGGTTTTTCGTTGCTTATCTGCTTCTGGTAAGACTGGAAACAGCAGGAAACCAAACCCAACTTTGCATGAAAATCATCACATTTTCCAAAAGGTTGTTAATTCAAACACATTTGTATTATAATGTGATTTGATTTGAGTGTTACAGGTTAAACTGTGGATTTAGAACTGCTTTAATTGTTCATGTCAATTATAAAACAAGCTGTTGGAGTCCACCTGATTCTGACCCAACCATCTGAATTTTGCAACTGATCGCCAGACTGATCAGACCAGGAAAGGCTTTCCTGTCTCTTCTGGTCCAGTTCTGGTGATAGTGTGAGAATTGTAGCCTCAGTTTCATGTTAGCTGACAGGAGAGACTCCTGGTGTGGTCTTCTGCTGCTGGAGTCCATCCGCTTCGAGGTTCAAAGATGCTGTTAAGCAGACCTTGGTCGAAACCAGTGGTTATTATCCAGAATCTGCCCATTATCTAGCATCAATTTGACATTTTAATCCAAACAACAGCTGAAACCCTAGATATGGTTGTGGGTGAAAATCCCAGTCGATCAACAGTTTTCTGTAAAACCACCAGCCCATCTGGGACCTACACTCATGCTGCTTCCAAAGTCTCTCTTTCTTCTCAGCTCTGATGTTTCATTTTAGCAGGTTCTTCATCACATCTAAATGACTCAGCAGCTATGCAACTGGCTAATTATATACTTGTTTTAATAAGTAACTGAGTAGATGTATCTAATCAAGTAGCAATGAGAGCAGAATGTTGTCTAGAAATTCACATCCGACATTTCCACTAATGCACATCTGCTTGTTTGTGTTCCAGCTGATCAAACATTGCAAAAGCATTCAAATAGCAATCTGTTCCTGGGTTCCTAGCCGCAAGGTGATGGTCCAGACTGGAAGAAATCCTCTTTTGGTGGAAAAACGTTAGAAAGATGCTTCTGAGAGAACAGGAAATGAAATATTATGTCATGCAATGTGAACTCTCGTGCACCACAAACATTAGCTGGTGTAGGGAGGGGCTGAGTGATGATGGGAGTGTTAAGAGCCTGCTCAGATGATCGGTTATGGAATAAGGGAAGGTTAGTTTTACTAAATGAAGAGAAGAAGAGGAGACACAATGACAGCATTACTACTGAGTTGTCAGGGTTCTCCTCCTCAGCATGGGTCCCGTTCTGTACAACACGCTCCTTCTCAGCCTGCAGGGCTTCCTGCACCATGGAGAGGAGGAAGTTTAACACAGATGCAGAAGCAAGGTGTTCCACACAATAAAACGGTTTATGTTCTTTATCTTAACTTATTTGATTTGACAGATTAGAACAAATGTAAGGTTTGAAGCAGCTTCAGCGACAATAATTTAACCATGAAAATATTGTTGTTTTGGTACATTTTTAATGGTGTAATAAATTCAAGATATTCATTCATTTGCTGAAACTGGGGTTGTGGGGAACTGGTGTCTAACTCCAGCTCTTATCAGACACGAGGCAAGGGACACCCTGGACATGTCTCAAGTCCCTCACAGCAACACAGGGAGACAAACAACCAGTCATACACTCACTAGTCTCCAATTAACCTGGCATGTGTGTTTTAGGCCTGTTGGAGGACACCGAAGCACCCAGAAAACACATGGGGAGAACAAGATAACTTCAAGCAGAAAGGCCACACAGAAGGGATTTCAACCCGCAACCTTCTCCCTGCCAGGCAACAGTGCTACCAACTGCTACATCATGCAGCCTTGCTAAATAAAATAACTTTTACTAATTTCAAAGTTTAACATCATATTTTTAGAAATCAAAATAAACTGTTTAGTTTGTTTGTTTGTTTGTTTGTTTGTTTGTTTGTTTGTTTGTTTGTTTGCAATAAAACTGTGAATTAAATATGAAACTATAATAAATCAGGAGGAATTTCTGTGGCTTCACTTTACCAAGAACAACTGGATTATTCTAATGAGGCCAACTTCATCCTCGAGTCACAGGACTGAACTGGCTTTTCTGCTGTTCACACCAGTAATCTAATGAACGCATTTAACAAATAATCAAACAAAAAAGGTTGAATGAGTTAATAAATAAATAAGCAAGGCCACGAAATGTTGAGCAACGGAAATCTTAGCAAACAAGAACATGTGCCAACATGTTGCCCGCACCATTGTGGATCTTACACTGTGATGTTCAGCAAACAGCCTGGTGGTCAACACCAGCAAGACCAAAAAGGTCAGTGACGACCATGGTGACGACACAGTGTCTACCTTATATTAGAAGGTGAGATAGTCGAGTGTGTGTACAACATCAGATTCCTGGGCATCCACATCACATCGGACCTGACCTGGTCACTGAACACCTCTTTCCTGGTGAAGAAGGACCAACAAAAACTCTTCTTCCTCCAGAAAGTGAAAAACGCAGCACAATGTCCAGTGTTGTGGTTATTAGCCAACAAATAGTTTGTAAGTTTTACTTACCCTTTGGATTCATCAATAAAATTCGTAAATATGGAAATATTTACTGATTTATTACTTAATTAGGATATCCGTGGATATGCCTCAGGGCACCACCCCTTTTAACAGGGAAAAAACGAATCCAAACCTCTATCAATCTGTCTAAAGTTTGTAAAATTCCTTTAACGAGTGACAGTCATATTCTATCCAACACAGACAAATTCACTTGAGACAAAACTTAATTGGCAATAACATTTATTAACTAATATAACCACCTCAGCTCCTCCAAGGCGCTAGCCAATCAATATGTCAACCAACTGATTTTATCAAACAAACAACAAGCAAGGAAACAATGGAATGATACTGTTGTGGCAAGGTGGATAAACGAGGGCCCGGGCAGGATTCGATCCCCAGACTCCCAGGTGAGAGTCACACGCTCTAACCAGTCAGCCAAAGGGACATCCCCTTGGCCAAGTAGCCAGGGCGCACGATCAATCGGGACATTGTGACAGGACGCTCACACTGTCACACTGTGAAGAAACAATCTAATCAGACCGGTGGGGGGAGATGGTGATGTAAACAAGCAAAGGTGGGGTTGCTTGATGATGTAATCAGACAGAGATAGGCTGATTACCAAACTGGAGGGAGTTTTGAAAAACAAAATGGCGGATCCTTTGTTTGGTTGAACAAAGGATCGAAACTAGGTGTGTGTGTGTGTGTGTGTGTGTGTGTGTGTGTGTGTGTGTGTGTGTGTGTGTGTGTGTGTGTGTGTGTGTGTGCGTGCGTGCGTGCATGCGTGCGTGCGTGCGTGCGTGTGTGTGTGTGTGTGTGTGTGTGTGTGTGTGAGTGAAATTTAGCCTGGCTTCCAAAAACACGTATAATCAGTGGGCGTGGGCCCCTGATCTGACGCGTATTTGACGGTGTGAGCAACGTTCACAGTGAACTTGATCAAAACACTTCAAATCGCTTTACAAAGCTCAAGAAAAGAAAACAACAGATCAATCATAAAGGCAAATTAACTAAACAGTCTGTCTGGCCTGGCCACAGCGTAAACAAACTTAGATATTAAAAACAACAAGAGAAACGGAGCTTACTTCAAGATGGTCCGTTGGCATTTTTAGTACGGAAGAGAGAGACCGTCTATTATTTTAAAGCAGTCACATGGTCGACCACTTGTTTTGGACTATTAGAGAAGCGGGAGAGAAAGAGAAAGAAAAAAAAGAAAAATCTTGAATGAACGGACACAAGGCGTCCCTCTGTGTCCGGGGCTGACCAGATCAGATGGCGTTGGTCCATTGATCCCAGCAGCTAGGCCTCACACGCACGCCGTCCGGAGCGGTAGGAGCAGAGGCAGGGGCCTCCTTACACCAGGTGAACTGGACAGGGGAGAGAGCGAGTTCCGCTCTGCACCACGGCTTTATAGACTCGTCCAGCGGGCCGTCTTTGTAGGGGCTGGTATCCACTGGACCGGTCAGACTTGGCGTCGCGTGATGATGTCATCAAGCTGCTGCAGGCTGCAGAGGATCATGGGACATGGAGTCCCTGCTTGCGCTGATATTAACATGCTTTATTGTCTATGCTTCAGGGCGTAGATGGCACAGTCCTTTGGAGAAAATACTGCGTAGTAATTTTCTCATGAGGGCAGGACCCCAACAACAGCTGCCCAGGAATATCTTCAGAGCCGTGGTTGAGAGCATCCTCCATCTCACTGACTGTGTGGTATGGCAGCTGTTGGTGCTGAAAACTGCCCAGTGGATTTTGGGGAGTCTTCCACTGGATCTGGACTCATTATATGTTGGAAGACTGCACAGGAAGCTCATTCCTAAACCCTCACATCCAGTTTCTACGGCTGCCATCCAGGAAACAGTATAAGTATATAAAGAACACAACCAGGCTGAAGGACAGTTTCTTTCCATCCTTCCATCTCCCTCCCCTTTGATCCCCTCTACTCACCCCGTCGTCACGCTCACACCCATTCACTGCACCTCAATCTGCTAGCGATGTTTTGCACTGATGGGTCAAATGCAATTGATATTGGCTCTGTTACATGCCCATGCTGCTATTTTTCACACATCCCTGTGGAATAACTGCTAGGTGCCGTTATGACAATGAGCACAATCTGTGTTGTTTACATTTATCTTTTATAGTTATAATCTTATTTTTTTTCTACCTTATTTCTTTTTTATCAAATAATGCCTCAGCAGAGACGCGCAAACCGCCTTCTCTCTCCAGCAACCTCCACCAGCTCTGCCGGTGAGACCCTAGGCCTCCCCGGTAGACATGGAGACAATCTATCCTCCATGTCCTGAGTTAACGCAGACCCTCCTGCCAGCTGAGGTATTTTCTACTTCAATGAATATATGTGATCATAAATATAATAATGATGTTGTCCTATTTTTAGTAGATTTAACACACAACTTTCATGAGAACAAGATTATTTTATAACAATAATAGTCCTGTGTTCATACATATCATTTCAAGTTTAAACTTATATTTTATGCTGAATTATTTATTTTGTTTTTAGATTAAAAAAAATAAAGTTGTATGTTCCAACCTTGGATCCAGGAGGAGGGGGCAACCCTAGGAAGGCAAACACTGAGTTGTCCTCTTTGGCATCGAAGAATGTTTCATAGTCCTGCAGGAAAAGGAAAACGTATTCAAAAGCCTAAATCGGAAAGTTACACCCAATGGTGTCATGTTTTATTACTCTCATCGAAATATCTAGTTGGTGTTTTTCTGCTATTAAACAACAACAGGTGTGTGCGTGCGTGCACTCACCCCACAGTAACTGTCTTCGTTGAATATCTGAGGAGGGAGAGGGATGCCATTGGCAGGCTTCTTGTCTTTCGGAACATTCTGCCTCATCCACAAGCGGTTGTCCTCGTTGCAGGCGATGTCCAGCTCCGTGTAGTCCACCTTAAGAGCCTCCAAGAAACCGACCACATCTTGCTGCTTCTTCTTGATCTGAGAGGGAAATAAGGAAGAAAAAAATCCAGTGGACTACACAAGATGTAGAAATGAGTCTGATGTTTAGGGTTTGAAAGGATTCACCACACATCTATCCATAAGGTGTGACAATCACTGAGTCATGCCCCAGGTCATACTCTGAGTAACGGATTGCATGAGGTTGTGGAGTTACCTCCTAATGCGTAACAATGAAGAGTTAGAATCATTCTGTGAGGATCTTTGTCTGTAATCGATCTGATCTAAATGAATAGTTGAGACCTAGAACCGGATTCACACGTAAAAAACTCCTGTCTTGTTGTCATGCATGCTTTCCTATAGATGATCAACTCAGTCAGCACCTTTTATCCTCTAATTATTGTTATTATTGTTAAATTAAAGGTGCATTATGTAGAAATGAAGTAAAAATCACATCCTGTGGTAAAATTTGGATACTGCAACCAAACAACTCTGGAGCTTGCCGGCAGTTGTCAAATTGTAATTGTTGGCACTGCAGGATTAGCTTGCAAGAGACATGCCAACCCCACACTCTTATTCTCATGCAAAACGGACAATCCCCGCAGCCAGCTGGATATGATATATGTTTCAGTATAATCTTCCTTTCAAATGACTGAAACATTAGACTCTTTGGGGATTTTCTCACTGTAAATTCTCACTATATTCTTACATACTGCACCTTTAACAGTAGAAAATAAATGGTTATGTTTCATGGCATTACAGGGTTAAAGTGATTTCTCAATTCTACAGGTCTGACAGTAATCAGATCTTGAGCTCAGCTTTCCAAATGATGTAGTTCATGTTGGGGCCGGGTTAGTTTAGAGAGCTTTGTTCCCTTAATAAATACACGTTTCTATGTATTTGAGTTATCAGCTGATTGTGAACATTTAGGCATAAAAAACCTAAATCTGACAGGATGTGAAAACTTTTTTCACAGCACGGGATTTTTGATAATTAGTTTGAAAAAAATGTCTCAAATGTCTCATGGAAATTTTAGTGAGTTTTCGTGTATAGAAAGTTTGTTCTAAACTGAATGTAACAGTCGATTCATCACTTCAAACCATTTGTTTCCACTGTTCAGGGTCATCTGTTACTTTTACAGGACTATAAAAGTTTGGGCAAGATGGGACCAGCATGCAAATAAACCCTGCGATCAGCAACCAACCTCTTCCTTTGTGAAAGACTCGGCTCTAACTGTGACCAGGCCAGCGCAACCTCACCTCACATTTAGACACATCTACTAAGATTCAAACAAAGAACACTTCGTTTAAATGCACGCAGGACGCAGATCTGCACATGTAGGCGCTTTAAACACGCAGCCAGCTGTATTAAGGTCCAGACTTGGCCTGTTTGCGTCACTCTGAGAGACGGTTCTAGTCGGTTTAGGGAGAACAACCTGCAAAGTTCAGCCAGAAGTGAGATCAGACGGTGAAAGCTTACCGCTGTGGATCCCGAGGAAGAGGCGAGGAAGACTTTGATCACCATGATGTTAAAGGATTTTTGTGGAGTTTATGCAACAAGGTGGGTCTTAAAGGAGAACTCTGCCTCTCCTATTATTAGATCGTACCCAGGACGAAGAAATAGCTCTGAGATCACACGCGCGCGCGCCCCCGCGCGCTGCTGGAGGTATTTTTGTCTCCAGGCTCCATTTGTGAGGGGTGGGAGGGTGGGTTGGTGCGTCAAGCCCCTCGGAGGGAGCGAAGCGCCACACAACTGATTGGAAACTTCAGCTGTCCGTTGGTGCCTGGGAAAGAGAAGCGGCCCACCGGCAGCTCCTTCCCGAACGGGACAGAAATAGAAGAGAGCAGCCGTGGATCTGCGCCCAGGCACTCCTAATAATAATAATAATAATGTTTCCCACAGTTTTCGTTAACTGTTTCATCATATCACGACAAAGATATAAGCTGGGCTGCGTTCCATTCTGAAGAAGTTCTTACTTTTCAGTTGTTCCATATTTAAAACAATTTATTTATTCTGAATTGAATCACCCAAGAATATTTGCTCCGTGTTTTAAAAATCGTGTTCTATGTATTTGTTGACATTAAAATGCTTTAACACACTCTTAGGCCTTAAAATCATTGTGTCCGCTTCTGCCAGTATAAATAATTACAATTAATGTCCGTTAATTTATAGGTTTCATCATTTAGTGCCAGATTTAAAAGGGAACTCACTTGTTTAGCTCCCAGTGATCCATACAGTACAATTTACAAGCAACACGATGCATGCATGGGTTAAGTCAGGTGCTATTTCTTTTAATTTACCTGCAGAATTATGTGCTAGACCAATATCACTGTTGGACAAACACTGGTACAAAGCTAAATGAATGGAACACAAGCTTGATTAATCATAAATCCAATTATAAACATTATTTGACGTTTTTGTGAATATAGTAGTAAATTTATGACATTGGGAATTTTCATATTTTTCAATAAAACATCCCAAAAGTCTCAATGTAGCCCTTTGTGACCAGCAAGAGGGTCCTCATCTCACCTTTGAGAAGCACTTATCTAGTTTCCTCATTAGATAAACAAGTGTGCACTTGTTTATTATATAAAAGCATTTTAATAAAAGTAGTTTGTACAGTTAATTGTGGATTTGATAATTTCTTTAACATTCCAGACATCTCATTGTCTCCTGCCAGACTCAAAAAGACTATTTAATTTTAAATTGTCTCTGCTGTAGCTGAGCTATGTAGGCTAATGTTAACACCCATACAAAGTTTTAACAGCACTAAAAATAACTTAGCTGACAATTGGATTAGACAAAAACTGACTTTTTATAACATTTTGATGACTTGCTTTGCTCTGAATGCATCACTTATGCATCAACTCTTCCTGTGTGAGTTCCATCTTCTCCACCTCCATAGCAACTGCATCCTCACAAATAAGTTTAGTATCATTTGGCCTGATATCAGAAAAGGTGCAGCCTGAAGTTTGGATCAAAAAGGATAACTCAGCGCCAGCTGCAATGTGATTACATGGATTTGTTTTTTTTTATTTTATCTGCATATAAGATCTTCAGTTTTGTCTTTAAAAACTTTATTGAAGTTATCCATCTTTTCTCACGGTGGACTAAAACACAAAGTCAGTGAGGCAGAATAGCCTGATGTAGCAGGGATTTATTCCAAAGCACGAATGAGATGAAGGCAAGTGCAGCGCACATGCAGGTGGTCTTTTCCCTCTGGTGACCCTGATGATCCTCAGGGTTTATCCAACAGGACTCCACAGTGGCAAGGGCCGAAGCTATCAAAAAGTTACACAATATGATTGAATGCTTGAAATCTACTTTCTGATCAATGTTTTTGTTTTCTTCAGGTAAGAAAATCCAAGGAGTCAAGTAGAAGACAAATCACGGACCCCTGAATTTGCCTCAGATTTGACAGTCTACCAGATGCGGACTCTCAGCAGCAGCTGGGTGCAGCCAGGGCTGAGAATAAGCTACTGCAGCACCACATGGTGGTGCTGCAGCACTTCCAAGACTCAAGAGGACAGGATTTCACAGGTTGGTGAGGCATATCAGTCCCATCTAGCTGCATGGACCAAAAACTACACCCGTGTTTTTTCACAGCAGCACTATCATTCTCACTTTAGCTTGTTCCCAGATTAGCCAAACACAAAAATGAAGTCAAAACACTGCAGATGTTGCTCCGACAAAGCAGCACTAGCCGTGCAGCTATCTCAGGCAGCTGCAGAAACCAAGCTGCATGGGACCAAGGCCTCTCTCCCGCATCCACAGCTGCTCAGGAGCAGGGCCTCCCGCAGGAGGAGCTGGCCCTGAAGCTGGACAAAGCCACTGCAACTGACAGAAAATGAACTGGGAAGGCATGTTATTAAAGGTCCAAATGATCAAAACCAGTAAGAGAAAACCAAATGGATCAGAAAAAACCTGTCTTTCCCCCGATCCATGCATCATCTCCGCAGGAGACTGAAATTAAACCCCAGGAGATCTTTGTGATCTATTTTGTTCATTTATACTAAACATGTAATCGTCACAATAGCTGAAAATAAAGTTGTATTGCTTTGAAAATCTGCATCAGAGGTGTTACAAAGTGTCTTTACATAAATCTTTCTTTATTTGATCCAACTCTGTTGAGAGTTGTTTTTTCATGTATTTTTCTCTAAAATAAACAAAAAAAACTAATCATTCATGAGCCATGTTTTATTAAAAAGAAACTAACATTAAAATACCATACAATCAAAATAAACAACAGCAAAACAGAGTTGCAATAATAAATTACTTTAGTGAGAAAGAGAAACGTCCAGCCAACAAATGGAGCTTTCATCATCTAAAACCTGAGCGGCGCTCTCTAGCTGATGGCACTGAGTCCCAGTGTGACGACCTTATTACAAACCACCAGCCAGCAGGTGATTCCCACACCGCCTGAAACACAGAACCACTCCATCAGAAAGAAAATGGCAGAAATACTGTTTTCTTTTAATCAAACTCAGGTTTTACATCTAATTTCTGCAGATTTTCTGGTTTGGATTTTTTTAGGCCCACACGCTGAATGATAAAAGTCACACGTCATGTCATGTAGATGCTGGCTGAGCTGCCTCATACGGTCCCCATAGTGCAACGCGTTTGCATCTATCAGGGTATCTGCAGGTTTAAGGGAGCCAAATTTAAGACTTTTTAAGACCTTTTTTAAGGCCACTTTGAACAAATTTAAGCTATTTTTGAAAATTTAATTTCTGCTATAATTTACAGCTATTGCCTGGAACCGGTGCTAACCACGTCGCGAACGTGGGATTAGCCATCCAGTTACCATTAAACTTGCACTTCCCCATGGCGCAAGCTCCCACTAGCTTAACCAGCTAATGTGCTCATCTAAAAATAGCCCCCTTTCACAACTAACTGAATGTGTACGGTTCCGCTTACGCCAACATCGTACACAAAAAATGCTGAACACCAACTAGAAATTCACGAAAATGTCATAGAAATAAAATAATCAAGTTTATTGGGTCTTTGGTAATTTAAGACCTTTGGAAACTGTATTGAAGGATTATTTGTCATTTTTAAGGATTTTCAAGGCCTTAAATTTGGAAAAGTAAATTTAAGACTTTTTAAGACTTTTTAAGGACCCGCGGATACCCTGATCTATTGAGAACTTTCATTTGAATAAAAAAATGCTGATTCAAACATCTAAACTTTAAACTATAAGGACTTTCCCTGCAAACAACTTCCTGTGAGGCTTAGCAAGTAATTAATGCCATCATAAACAGTTCTGTGTTTTCATAATATAGCAAATAGATTTGATTAATGACCTGCCACTCCTGTGGGGAAAGCCACAAGTCGCTCCACAGGGGCAATCCATTTAGGGGGAACCACAGTCACTGGATCAGAGTAATACTTCCATATCAATGAGATCATCACAGCAGCCTGACAAAAAACAATCACACATTAATAAAATATTGTACCGCCATCGTGATATTTTACATTTCACTGAAAAAATTAAATGTGCTTTCGAGAAAATCAGATATAGAGCCATCAAGCAGTTAAATAAATATGGACGTTTTGTAATCTCCACCTACCTGCAGGATGTAAAAGACAATGTTCACAACCCATTTCATTTTGGCTTGTTGAGCTGTTCTTGATTGCACTGCAGAAAACCAGAAGAGAGGCCCGCTATTAAACTTTCTAAATTGTGATTCTCAATCTAATTGGCTTTGGTCAGTTTGGGTCTTGAGACAGAAACAGTACGACTAAAACACGAGAACATAGTTGAACGTTGTTCTAAAACTTTAATGGGTTCAGGTTCACATAAACGATCCTGAACCAAACATTAGTGACTGAGATGAGACGTGAGCAGCTGTTCCCAGCAATCTCTTTGTAACGATCAAACCTCCAGCCACTTCCTGCAGTGGCTGGCTTAAAGTGTGCATGACTCTTCTGCAGTAGTAAACACAGCTGTAAATGACGCACCATGAGACAGTTAGATCTAGTGTGATGACAATCATTCGTTCCCAAAAGCTCAAGCATCTCACCATGCGTTTTCAGCTTGTCTGTCGTTTTGTTGATTTTGCGCTCCAATCTGGCGTATCTTGCAAACTCATCCATCATGCTAATGGAGGACTGCTCCTTCTTCATCTGGTGGATTTCTGCCCTCATCTCACTCTCCTGCTCGGCGTCTTTCTGTACCATCTTAGTCAGCTGGAAGTGGAAAAGACGGCAGATTGTGCTTAGGCACATAAGGCTCTCAGGTTAAGCTGCAATACTAATTAATGCAAGACATTTGGGTAATCAGATGTGAATGTCACTGTTTTGACAATATTACAATTAAAAAAACTGCATATTTGTGCTGCAGGTCAGATGACTCAAGAGACAGACATTATCAAGTCTTAATGTAGAACATATGCTTATGAAACAAAACAGATGAAATATTTCTTTTCTTGGATGCTAGCTGCTTTAGCCTTTCTAAGAGCATCATTGTAGCAAGTTAGCATTACACTACACTACACTGCACAAGTATAAATCAAACGCGTTGGAATTACTTCGTAACTTTAAACATTATTGAGTGTTTCCTCGCGTTTATTTTTTAACTGTGTGAATCGGTCCTGAAATAATAAACCTGGTTGTGGTCATTTTACTCAAGCTAAGCTAACTCCGTTAGCTTTCCACGAAGGCTAAGCTAGTAGCTACAATCACAAAACGTAAACGACACGCTAAAGCCTTTAGCGGCATCTTAGTTCAACCAAGCGTACACACTTCTACTTACAAAAGAGGAGATCGAAGGTAGGAGTGTTTTCATAAGATTGCAAAGAAACACGGAGCTCAGAACCAGGAACCACGCCATGTTTAGCAGCCTCCTCCTCGGTGTTCCAGCTGTGGAGCAGCGAAGGGAAGCTGATGATGAGGACAGGTTAGAAGAACCAGCATCTGGAGACTGTCTTCAAAAGAAGATACTCAGTAAACAAACATAAATAATCTCGAGTACGGTTTCCTTCTTGGAATGCTCCTCAAACATCTGTGTGACACCAGATTTGAATTTGATAGATTCTATTATTAATAATAATAATAATAATAATAATAATAATAATAATAATAATAATAATAATAATAATAAACAAATCGTTTATTATAAAAAGACGTTGAAATGTTTTTTCTAAAAGGGCAACTACATTTTTCCCGTTTTCCTTTATTATTTTTCAGATCAGACATTGAAGGATTTTAAATGATAAAATTCCACAAGTCCTTTTGACCTTAGGTAAGGCCATTGTAGCACATAATCAAAATTAGCCCATTACTATTTGTGTGTTATTTATACTATTTATGTCAATAAGTTTTTTCTTAATTAAGATCCATCCAGTCTTCCATTTTCTTCCGCTTATCTGGAGTCGGGTCGCGGGGGCAGCAGCTTAAGTCGAGAGGCCCAGATTTTCCTCTCCCCAGCCACTTGGGCCAGCTCTTCCGGGGGAATCCCAAGGTGTTCCCTGGCCAGCTGAGAGACAAAGTCCCTCCAGCGTGTCCTGGGTCTCCCTTTAGGCCTCCTCCCAGTTGGACGTGCCCAGAAAACATCACCAGGGAGGCGTCCAGGAGGCATCCTGACCAGATGCCCGAGCCACCTCAACTGGCTCCTCTTGATGTGGAGGAGCAGCGAATCTACTCCGAGCCCCTCCCAGATGACTGAGCTTCTCACCCTAACTCTAAGGGAGAGCCCAGCCAGTCTGCTGAGAAAACTCATTTCAGTCGCTTGTATCTGCAATCTCGTTCTTTCGGTTAATACCCAAAGCTTGTAACCATAGGTGAGGGTAGGAACGTAGATCGACCGGTAAAGCTTCGCCTTCTGCCTCAGCTCTCTCTTCACCATGACAGACTGGTACAACGCCCGCATCACAGCAGATGCAGCACCAATCCGCCTATCAATCTTGCGCTCCAGCTTTCCCTCACTCGTGAACAAGTCCCCGAGATACTTAAACTCCTCCACTTGGGGCAGGACCTCATCCCTGAGCAAGGAGAAGGCATTCTACCCTTTTCCGAATCAAGACCATGGTCTCAGATTTAGAGAAGCTGATTCTCACCCCAGCTGCTTCACGCTTGGCTGTGAATCGCTCCAGCGAAAGCTGAAGATCACGTTCTGATGAAGCCAACAGGACCACATCATCTGCAAAAAGCAGAGACCTGATCCTCAGGCCACCAAGACGGATGCTCTCAACACCTTGGCTGCACCTAGAAATCCTGTCCATAAAGGTAATGAACAGAATCGGTGACAAAGTGCAGCCTTGGCGGAGTCTTATATAACTACAGGAAAACCACAGTATAAAGGGTATTCTTTGCTGTTTATTCTTCCTGTTGTGTGCAACCACATCAAAGCTATGTTGTTGGAGGTGCAAACACACGGGTCAAAAGATGTGAACCACACGTGATGTCAACAATCTACATATCTAGCTTTAATTAAGATTAAAAACAAATTATGATTAGTAAGATTTATAGTTCCAGTCTTCACAGCTTTGATTAAATTGGTCAACACAGGATGAAATCTGATGCTATATGTGGCACAAACCAAACTGATGAGTCGTTATTAAGAGAAACATTTGATCAACTAGACATAAAGAAGTGTGTGTGTGTGTGTGTGTGTGTGTGTGTGTGTGTGTGTGTGTGTGTGTGTGTTCATCCATCCATCCATCCATCCACCCTTCCATCTGTCCATCAGTTATCCAAACAGCTTCATCCTCACTGGGTGTCACCGGTGGCTGTTGTCCATCTCCAAACATCATTAGACAGAAGGCAATAAACTGACTTTCTTAATAAACTGAAGAAATATTCAGAGAACATTTGTGACAGTTAATCTTAATAGCCAAAGAATTAAGGTCTTCCCAAATTCCACCAATAAAGCTAGATATGTAGCTTGTTGACATCACATGTGGTTCACATCTTTTGACCCGTGTGTTTGCACCTCCAACAACATAGCTTTGATGTGGTTGCACACAACAGGAAGAATAAACAGCAAAGAATACCCTTTATACTATGGTTTTCCTGTAGTTATGTAAATATAAATAAGTATTTCCAAGTCATTTTTCATCAGATATGCCAAAGCCACAGCAGAGGGAACAAAAGAGTCACATGTGGCCCTGGAGCCGCAGATTGCAGACCCCTCTGTTATATGAAAAAAAAATGACTCCACAATCCGGCCAAATTCCTGATCAACACACCCTTTCTGCACGAACGTTCCATAGTTGAACGTTGAGATTTGACTGATTGACATCTCGTCCTGCCCACACAGGTAAGATGTTATTTTTCAAAATTATGCTGCCGTGACCTCAAAGCCAATCACAGAAAGCTATGGGCGGAGCTTCACTCTTCCTGGTGGGTTGGTAGGATAAAGGGATGAATTATACCAAATAGAGGTGTCCAATCCGGTTTGAGCTAGTTCTGGTACTGGCTGGACCTAAAGTCATGTTACACATACACACTCCTCTGTAACAGGCTCTGGTGTGCGGCTCGGCTGGTCCTTTTCTTCTATAGATTTGCTAAAATTATCAGCAGTTTTCCCTATTGGCTCCGCCGCATAAACTAGATCACAATGGGAAGGAAAAAGGTAAGTTAAAACGTGTGTAATGTGTAAATAAGTATGTGTAATCTAAAGAGTTTGTAACATGCAGTTACAGGCATTTTTGTGTTGTAATTATCTGTATTTGTCGCTGTTTATTTGTGGAGAACGTGTTAGTTTGAATGCGGACGTGTGTGTATGGAATGAGTCCATGGTGCGTTCAGGGTTGACGTGTTGATGCAGGGAAGTGAAGTGGCGCCTTTTTTACTCCGCGCAGGCCAGCATTCCAACATGTCGCATCGTGTGTTTTTACTTCACCTTCCTTGTTTTTACACCGTCTACGTGTTGAAGTTCATTAATTGTCCTAAAAGCGTGCTGTGATATTAAACTAAAGGGGTGTAACCAGCATTAGGAACGGGTTTTACCTCCCAGGAATTTCGCCCATGAACGCCGCAGGTGATTGGAGCTCTTCCTGACTGTAGAATTTAGAAAGTGTTTGATATCCTCAAACACCGCGTTGTGGAGCTTTTAAAACACCGGTTTGATGGTGCACGTCACGCATGTATTTGCGTGTTGATCTTCGCGTTTGCAGAACACAGCGACACATCTGGTTGTTTTAGACATAAACCATGTAGGCTGCGCCTTCAGGTTTAAGGTTTATTGGCAAAATGCAACTTTCATCATCGAATTGATGTTGAGCGTGCTTTGGTTTATGGGCTTGCTGTAGTTTTTTTTATGAATAAACACATATGTGCTGTTTTGATGTACTTTCATCAATCTCTAGGGTCCAGATTAAGTCTTTTAGGCCATCAGAAACACTCCCTGGCCAGGAGTCGTACAGATTACATAATATTTTAGTGACTAAATGGGAGGGGAAGTCACCCATCCCCCTCTTTGCATCACACACCCACTTTAGCACACTTATGAGTGGTTGTTGTTCAAGCCTTGTTAATTTTTTTTCTTCCTGATTTTTGCAGGCAACCTCTGATGCAGATGCAGGTACAGAGGTAAGTAAATCACAAAGTGTACATACACAACATAATTTTGATCATCCTCACCTAGAGGGGAGGACAGAGTTGTACATCTTGCAGACTTCCAACACAGATTTTTATTTTTAAATGATGTAAAGAATTTTTTTAAGTGCATGGAATAACTTGAGTTGTACCCTTGTTTTAATTTTCCTAACTTGCAAAACAAATGCAATTTTCACAACCGCTCGACAAAACTGTATCATGTTTGTTTAACTAGAAGCTGTACATTTGTTTAATTCCAAATTCTTTGTGTTTCCTTCAGCCAAGGCGAAAATCCCAACGGTTGTCAGAGGTAAGCTTCACAGACCTGGACTACTTCATGAATATGTGTTTAATTTGGTATTACAACGCATCTCTATTATTTTATTTGTATTTTGTGTTCTGCAGAAAGAGACGCCAACAAAACCAGAGCCAGAAAAGAAAAAGGTGAAAGGTCGTGTCGGTGCAGCAAGTTACGGTGTGGTTAGATTGTCCAGTTCATGCTGCGGTTTGATGTTCATTGTAGGCACCTCCGAAGACCAAGAAGGTGAAGGAGGTAAAGGCCAAAGCAGAGGAGAAGAAGGAGGAAGCACAGCCAGAGAAAGAAAGTCCTGCAGAAAACGGAGAAACTAAAGATGAGGAGGTATGATGGGTTTGGCTCTTCTCTGGTCAGCATTGCTCTCTGGTGGAGAAAACAAACCAGTGGTGTTTCCTTCGTCTTCCCACAGGCTGCAGGAGTAGATGAAGCTGACGACAAGGAGGACACCGCTGAGGAGGAGGCGAAAGCAGCAGAATAGCTGGCTTACCTCTTTTTGTTGTAAAATGCAGAGAGTATTTTAGCTACTATTTTCTAAAGACCGCATTGTTTTTAGGGGTGAGATTGCTTTTTAATTTTTTATGACAATATCAATTAAAAGTATAAAGCTTTTGTAAAGGGAGAGTTTCCATAATTGTGTTTTTGTTCTTTTCACACCTTGTCTTTGAGGATTTTGTCTTCACCGGGACTGTTGGGGGTTCGCTCTACTTTCACAGGAAGTGGATGTGTTTGGTTGTTTTCTTTTACTTGAGAAGAATCAGAGTTCAGCCGTGCTTTAAGCTAAGTGCTTCTTAAGAGTTAGTAATTGTTTATCTTGTCATCTCGGATAGCTGTGTGGTTTGAGAATTCCTCTACCCATGTACAATTTCCTTTTTTTAATAAATGTTTTTTGTTATGGATGGTATAAATTCCAATTAAAGCGGGGAATTTTTTTGTAGTGTTCTCATGCGTTTACTGTTGGCATTATGTAAAAATGGAAGTCACCTTCTGCCCATAGAGAATAAATAAATGAGGAAATTAACCTTAAATAAAGCAAATTGAGAAGAAATATATTTGGAAATGACGTAATGGGTTTCCATGATTATTGTAAGTGTGTAAAGTTTATATAGCACTTGTAACAAAGAACAACAAAAATAGTATAGTCACAAAAATAAATGAAATAATGAAAATAAGACATTTGGGTAAAAGCAGTTTTAAGTGACGGGGTAGAATAATAATGATCATAAATGAAGACTAATAACATCTGAAACAAATAAAAATTGTCTGTTTTGATTGAGTTTGCCAGACTTCAACAGGTTGATACTGACCTGTGTCAGCTTCTCTGAACTGATTCTGGTTTTAATTGTAAACATTTGGGCTGCATGGTGGCGCAGTGGTTAGCACTGTTGCCTCGCAACACGAAGGTTGCAGGTTCGAAACTCGGCTGCGGCTTTTCTGTGTGGAGTTGCGTGTTCTCCCCATGCATGCGTGGGTTTTCTCCGGGTACTCCGGTTTCCCCCCACAGATCACAACATGCCCTATAGGTAAAAAAAATAAAAAATAAATTTTAAGTCGCTTTGGGTAAAAGCGTCTGCTAAGCACATAAACATAGTTCAGAGAAAAGCCTTTTCCACCTAGTCTGAATTGAAATCATTCTGGAAGTAATTGCTTCATGAACACAAATGTTTAAAGCTTCAAACTTTTTAGTAATTTAAGTACTTTAACCCTTTGATGCATGAATTATGAAATCTTCAACCATGATTTTTTGTAACATTTGTTTCATTCATCTTTAGGTGTGAATGAAACAAATGTCAAATATTTTTTGTAACATTTAATAATTTACTAAATATTTTTTACATGTCCACCTCAGTGGACTGCATGCATTCTGAACATAAAATATGTTGGCTTGACTTACTGAAGTCCAGATGGAGGGGCTCAAATGGTAAATGGCCTGTATTTGATATAGCGCCTTCTAGAGTCCTGGAACCCCCCAAGGCGCTTTACAACACAATCAGTCATTCATTCATTCACACACTGGTGGGGATGAGCTACGATGTAGCCACAGCTGCCCTGGGGTGCACTGACAGAGGCGAGGCTGTCGAGCATTGGCGCCACCCATCCCTCCGACCACCACCAGCAGGCAACGTGGGTCTTGCCCAAGGACACAGCGACAGACTGAGCGGGGCTTGAACCTGCAACAAATGCAATAAAGTCTTCAACAGCTGTGCTTAATAGCAAAATATATGTATATAACAATTTTGAGTACCTGTCCACTGTTGTGACCATTATGCATCAAAGGGTTAAATGTGTATTTACTGAGTTTCTAGTTTTCATGAATGACAGCCTCTCTGCATGTTGACGGCAGTAGCTCAACAACTTGAGCAGGTTGTCCAGTAATCGGAAGGTTGCAGGTTCGATCCCGGCTCCGGACAGAGAATTCTGCTGTTGTGTCCTTGGGCAAGACACTTAACCCACCTTGCCTGCTGGTGGTGGTCGAAGGGACCGGTGCGCCAGTGCTCGACAGCCTCGCCTCTGTCAGCGTGCCCCAGAGCAGCTGTGGCCACATCGTAGCTCATCACCACCAGTGTGTGAATGGATGAATGATACACTGTAGTGTAAAGCGCTTTGGAGTCCTGACTCTGAGAGGTGCTATGAAAGTGCGGGTCATTATCATTTGACTACTGACTCAGGCTGCATGGTGGTGCTGTTGCCTCATGGCAAGAGGGTTGCAGATTCTAAACCAAGCTGCAGCCTTTATGCATTGCATTATCACACTGGTAGGGTTTCTCCAGGTGCTCCTGTTTCCTCCCACAGACCCAAACGCCATGTTGTCCTGTAGGTGTGAGTGTGTGTTTTCTTTAGCATTACTGGCAACCTGTCGAAGGTACCCTTTGTCCCAGAGAATGTAGGAGATGAGCGCCAGCTCCCTGCAACTCCGATGAAGAAGAAGCAGTTCAGAAAAGGAATAAATGCAGAATTACGTATACAAATGCATTCAGTTAGAACTGTAAATATTCACACAAAGTGTTTACATTTTAAAATGTTGGGCATTCCCTTAACAAATTTTAATGTGCTGACCAGCAACTTTATTAAATGTGTAGAACAAAAATACAGCATAAAAATGAGTGGAACTAAAGCTATTTTTGCAACACAATCCCCATTTTCTGGGACTCAAAAGTATTTGGACAAGTTAATAGAATTGCAGATAAAATGTCATATTCTAATACTTAGTTGGAACCCCGTAGTTAGCAGGTTTGACCATTTCTGGAATTCTCTCTTTAATAATCGGCCTCGCTGTTCCTGCCTTTAGTGAATGAAGGGCCCGCTCTTTGGGGTTTTAGATCAGGTGACTGACTTCAAGATTATTCTACTTTTTGGCTTTAAGACAGTTTTGGGTTGTTTTGGGTCGCCCACCCGATCAGTTTGACATCAAATCAACAAAAAATACCACAAAAGATGCACTGGCAGCTGTGCAGACCCAAGCCATCACACGAAACCCACCATATTTTACAGATGCGCCTTCCCTTGTCCACAATTTTAACTTCCTGTCATTCTGATACAGGCTGATATCGAACTCACTGTTCCAGCACTGTTATGGTTTTTAAAGGATTTTTTCAAAGTCAAATTCAGTCTTTTTTACTCTTAAGGCTTTATGAGTGGCTTGCCAGTTGTCTTATCATTTGGCAGAAAGTACCCAACAATGAATTTTGCAACTCTTGATGTGGTATTTTCTCAAATTATTACCCCTGCTTTTGTAGTCCAAGATTGGCTTCTTTCATGTGCATTGAGTTCCTTTGATTGTACGCATGAAACTTGAAAAATTAGAATATGGTTCAAAAGTTCATTTATTTCAGCAATTCAACTTAGACTGCGAGACAATCTAAATGGTCAGGAACCCTTTGCAGGTGTCCTAGATGCATTAGCTGGTTAGAGTGACACTTTGAGTCTAGAATAGTGAACACTTTCACAATACGCTAATTATTTGAGATTTTGGGAATTTGGGTTTTCATAAGCTGTAAGTCATAATCAAATTTATAACACAGAGTTGGAATATCTGACCTTGCATGTAAATAGTCTATTTCATATTTTAGTTTCACCTTTGAGTTGAATTACTGAAATAAATGAACAATTTCATGAAAGCTATTCTATTTTTTGCTAATCTCACCTGTAGGTCTAACTTCTGAGACTAAGGAAAGCAGGCTATCTGATGTATGAATAAATAATAATAACAATAAACAATTTAGTCTTATTCTTTCTATCAAAACAATATTATCTGAAGTATATGGTGGAAAGCCCTTCTGACTAGGATTTTTTTTCGGATGGCTATTACATTCAAATAAGCCATTATATTTAAACGGCCACAACAAACTTGTCAAAGGTTTTAAAACATCTTCTGATTTTTTAATACACACATTTAGAGCCAACGAGCTGCCATTTTGCTGGTATGCGCACATTAGTTTAGACCTATGGCGTTTCTAGTGATTGCCTTTTGATATAAGATGTTTTTGTTACGTCCAAATGGATGGTCTGTTAGATTATGTGTTACACTGGCTTTCCACAAATTAACGTAAATTACATAATTTTGTACTTTTTATATATAATTAGTTCATTTTAAACTCCGTCCATGCGAGCGAACTAAATCTTGTCTGCTTTATTTCATATCGGAGTGATCCAGTGATGCTAGGCTAGCGGCTAACGGCTACTCCCTGCCCCCCTTTTCCTGTGTTACTCCGCTGTGGCGGAAGTAAGTCGTATCGCCGAGGCCTCATCCTTCCAATGGCGACTGCAAACGGGCTGAGCAGCAAGCGGGAGCAACTGTGGAGGGGGTCAGCGCTGTGTATCCGAAATTAAATAAATATATCACCTTTTCCATAGCCACAAAGTTAGCCTAAGATTTGTTTAACCTCTCCTAAAAATCAAGGCCGATTCCATGGCCAAAAATCGGAACATTTCGCTCCTTGAGTCGGGTAAGCCGCAGAAGTAAACTCTTTTTTGATTTCCATTAGTATCAGTCGTGCCAATTGATTCCCCAACCGCTTTATATTATTGTTAATGTGCGCACTGTTTCATTTCAGAGCTCTATTACTTGATTTCTCGTTTTCTAACAACGGGTCCGTGTCGGAGAGCGGCTGAGGTGAGCTGGCGAGCTTTGACTGGCACAGTTTTTAACATTGTTGACAATTGTAATTAATAGAGCCTTTCTAATGAGAAATGCCTTTTAAACCCTCTCCAGGTCCTCGCAAGCGAACTAGAGGAAAATCAGGTGTGTATTTTCACTGTGTCTGCTTGCTAGTTAGATGCTAACTAGCAGCTATCCTTCGGTCTTGACCGAGTCTGGACATAAAACTTGTCCCACAAAGTGACTTTTTAATACCCTCTTTACGTCTCACTCATCTGACATCAGCCGGTTTTAGGCTAAATGTGTACCTACTGGCTTTTTCTGGGGTGACTTCGCTTTACCAAAACTCTATTTTTGGCAGCTTTTACCTGGAAGATTGGACTGGTTTGGAAACGAGCATCCGAGAACATACGAAGATGTGGTGAGATTTAACTTTATATTTAAGTTCATTGTCGACGGCTGTTATTGTCTCCTGCCCGCGGGGGCTGTGTCCATGCTAGTGGATTGTTTACGGTCTTTGTTCTGTTTTCTTCTTGCCTGATGTCTATGATCTTTAAAAAATATGACCGATAAATGACTAATCATGCTCCTGGTGGTTAGTTTGTTCAGAGGAAAGTTGGTAATGGTGCCTTAATAACTGTATTTAAACTAGAGTTTAATGTTATTTTGTTCCGGTGTACGGCTGTTGTGCTGCAGTTAGACTTCTTTTCTTGAGACAGCTGCCCGGACCAATCACAGGCCGAGCCGCTGTGTCTCTGCGTTGGTTTGCGTGTGACCTGTGCTCTGATTGGTCTATTAAAAATACTACTTTGCATAAAAGACCACGCCTTACGCAGTAAAGGCTCAAAAATACACGAACTACTTTGTCGGATGTGAAGGTTCAAAGTGCTTATTTACCCTAATCTACAAATAACTTTTTGATATTTCCAGCATGATAATCTAAATTAATTAATATTGATCCCTAAAATGAGATGTATTCAGAAACTATCTAAGAATATGCATGTTTAATAATGTACACTAAAGTAAAGACAATGCAAACAAATATTGTGGAGTAAAAATACAATCATTCATGAAACGAGTCTTAATTTCTCCATATTTCTTTCATTATGTTCATAAATGTCTGTTTAATTTCATTTAATTTTGCATTAGTAATTGAACAAGTCCATTCAGCTGTGGTTCATGCTGTGTCACATAACTTCACTGGTTTTGTTTGCCATGACAGGTCACAGCCAACAGACATATTGCACCTGACCATTTGCTACAGATATGTAAACAGATTGGACCCCTCCTTGACAGAGAGGTACCATCATGCGTCCCAGGAGTCCACTCCCTTCTGGGATCTGGAAGGCAGTCGATGCTCAGGACAGCTAAAGGTACTGGCGACCTTTTTAATTAAATTTTATGAGCAGCTGGTTGGCTGCTAAGAAATCTGGTACAGTAGGATCATCACCAAAACTTCTTGTTTTGATCTCTTTTGTCAGACTGCGACGGTATGCGGTTTAAAGCTTCATCATATGCAGCCCTTCACCGGGGCAGACCACCAGAGAGGCCTTTGAAATGCAAACAACCTCCGCACCTTGGTAGGCCTCGTGTCATTCTTTATTGTGTGGTTAGAATTGACTTGAATCACTGGATACTATTCAGCTGTTGCATGAACCCCCAATCACGTCTAATCAGTTTTGTTTTTGCTGCCTAATATTATTTATTATATGAGTAATGTGCTGATTTGGTGGCGTTTTCTGTTACTTGTGTTTTAGCAGATGACTGAATTGTAATCCGAGTTGCTTGATGTGGTAAAACGTAAACAATCCTGGCTGCAGCGAAGCAGCCTTCTCCTTTACACTATCAGTGATTCTTGTTAAACCTGTTTCCATCAGTGTTTTCCGTTTGAGCCATGTCCTATTCCAGGGTAGTAACACACACACGCATGCATGCGCCCACAGGTTTAGGATTCTTTGGGTTTTCCATGTTAATAAAGGGGTCTGTTAAGGAGGTCTGAGGACAAGAATCTGTGTTTGCACAAACTTTGCTGTAAAGTTTGATAGGATGCATCAAGAGATTGTTTGGTGATGATGGTTGTTGCACATTGCCACTCCCGGTAGGTGCAGACATTTTCTAATACAGTTCCTGTATTTTGAGATTTTGATTATAACCGATCAGTAAAAAGAATCCGAGTGTTGGAGCTTTAACATGCTGTTGGCACACGGGAGCAAGATCAAGTTGATGCAGATGTATCATTTACAGAGAAGCTCTGAATCAGAGGTGATGGTTTAATTTTACTTAAAGCAGTTTTCTAAAACAAAAGTGTAACCAACATAATGAGCAAATGATGAGAAACACCATAAAACCAAAAAAAATTAAGTCTTTTCATACCTCTGTCTCATTCTATCATGATGCTCCTTCACACACCTTAATTATATCTCAGATTGTAATTTGTGTTGTTTCTTCTACTCAACAGTAGAGGTACATCGAGGGAGAGAGCTGACAGGAGTGCAACGCTTTAGCTCCATCAGTCCTGTCAGCAACTATGAGCACATGCGTCTGCACAGGAGGATCCTGGGACATCTGTCAGCTGTCTACTGTATCGCATTTGATCGCACTGGACTCAGGATCTTCACAGTAAGACGGAGCCTGCCTGCATACACCACAACTAAAATGACTTACTGTATTTTATTTTATTTTTTTAATAATAATAATACATTTCATTTCAACAGCGCCTTTCTAAACACTCAATAATAATAATAATAATACATTTTATTTAAAAGCGCCTTTCAGAACACCCAAGGTCACTTGACAGAAAACACGTAATAAAATACAATAAAACAATAATAAAACCCAAACAAGAAAAAAAAAAAGAGAGAAACAGTTCAATAAAATTAAAATCAGAGGTTGTAGGCAGATTTAAACATATGTGTTTTGAGTTTTGTTTTGAAAAGGGTAAAACTGTCAATGTTCCTGATGTCTGGGGGAAGTGAGTTCCAGAGACGAGGAGCAGAGCGGCTGAAAGCTCTGCTCCCCATGGTAGCGAGACGGGCAGAAGGAACTGCAAGATGGATGGAAGAAGAAGATCTGAGTGAACGGGACGGGGTGTGAATACTTATAAGGTCTGAGATATATGGAGGAGAGAGGTTGTGGATTGCTTTGAAGGTATGGAGGAGAATTTTGAAGATGGACCTGAATTTAACTGGGAGCCAGTGAAGCTGCTGGAGAACCGGCGTGATGTGGTGAAAGGAAGGAGTTCTGGTGATATGGGCTGCTGAATTCTGGACCAGTTGCAGTTTATGAAGGAGTTTGTTGGGGAAACCATAAAGAAGTGAATTGCAATAGTCGAGACGGGAGGTGACGAGGCTGTGGACGAGAATGGCGGCAGTGTGAGGGGTCAGTGAGGGGCGGAGACGGTTTATGGAACGTAGATGGAAGTATGCTGACCGAATTATGTTATTAATGTGAGCTTGAAAAGAAAGTGAGCTGTCGAGAATGACACCCAGACTCTTGACGTGAGGGGAGGGGGAGACTATGGCGCTGTCAATAGTTAAAGAAAAGCTGTCAGATTTTGAGAGGGTGGATTTAGTGCCAACTAGAAGAAGTTGGACAAGGACACGTTACAGACAGAGATAAAATACACAACAATAAAAGATAGAACATCATAAAACAAACAGACAGATTGGAGCAAAGAGAGCAATTATTGGAATGCTAGACGGAAGAGGTGGGTTTTGAGTCTGGCTTTAAAGAGAGTGAGGGAATCAATGTTACGGAGGTCAGGAGGGAGTGAGTTCCAGAGGTGGGGAGCAGAGAGACTGAAGGCCCTGCTCCCCATAGTGACCAGACTTTTACTTACTGTATTCTTTATAGTCAGAATACCCAGCTGAGTCCTGTCCCAGAGCTCTCTTGTAATGCACGCTAAAGTGAACGTCGCTTTATTTTTGTTTTTAAGGGCTCAGATGATTGTCTTGTGAAGATTTGGTCTTCATTTGATGGAAGGCTTCATTCAACATTGAGAGGACACTCTGCAGAGATCACAGACTTGGCTGTCAACTATGAGAACACACTAATAGCTGCAGGAAGCTGTGACAAAACCATCCGTGTGTGGTGCCTTCGTACCTGTGCCCCCGTGGCTGTGCTGCAGGGACACAGTGGATCCATTACCTCCCTACAGGTAACGCTACAGCTTTATTAAAGGAAACCAAAACTGAATAATTTATAGAATTTATTGCCTATTTAATCTTCTTTATCTGCTTTGGGCACTGCATATACATATATATATATATACACTAATCATTCAACTTCATGGCACTAATGGAACTTACAGAAGAAATATCAGAAGCCATTGACAAAAAGAACCATTTCATAAGTATTTTTATTGATTTAAAAAAAGCCTTTGATACAGTAGATCATGAAATTCTTCTTAAACACTTAGTAAATATGGTATTCAAGCAATGGCTCTAAAATGGTTGACAAGTTATTTGAATGATAGGAAACAATATGTACAAATAAATGACATTAAATCAAATCTACGTGATATTTCTTGTGGGGTATTACAAGGGTCAGTACTGGGTCTGAAACTATTATGTATATAATGATATTGCCTCTATATCAAATGTATTAAAATGTATTCTATTTGCAGATAACACTACCTTTTATTATGCAGGAGAAAATATCAAACAGATAGTAGAAACAGTACAAACTGAGATGAAAAAAATAAAATTATGGCTTGATGGGAATAAACTCACATTAAACACTGATAAATCATGTTTCATGATATTTAGTAAAAGTAACTCAAGTGATACAAGTCTATTAAG